TTGAAAAAAAAAAAGTTCAAAAAAAATAAAAAAACAATACCAATACTGCCCGATACGCCCCTACCGGTCTATCGAGTGTATCGGTATTTAGAACTTTGGGTGTCAATGCCAGTTCCGGTTGCAAGGACTTGGGGACTTGGAGTGAAGTATTATTTTTTATGATATAACTTTGTTAAAGTTTTTTTCGGACTTTTAACTCTGCCTGAAACTTGAGAAAACAAAGATACTGAAAATTTGAAAATTTCTTTTTCATACAGAGAGAGAGAGAGAGAGTCCCAAACTTCATTTCATAGTCAACCAAGCTTTTTCTACAGACATTATTAGTGTGCTGCCAAGACTAGAAAACAAAGGCTATATTAATCATACTGCCACAAGCCCACAGGCCCCACACAATAGAATTTCTTCTTCATTTTGATAGACAGAATAAGTAATGGTGTAGGAGCAATTTAACCCTTTAAAATACAACTTAAATGTTTTGAGGATTGGCGTTGGCTATGGAAGCCAGAATGGCCTTCCCTTGAATACCCAGGGTTCTGATGAACTTGCGATATTCGTTGAAGGACATTTCCTGGTACAAGGGAAAACCGGAGCTCCTTTTCACCAACGTTTCCAGGGGTCCGATCTTCTTGTCTGCCAACGGGTTAACGAACACAACCATTGACATCCTCTCCTTCTCTCTGTTCACTGTCGTCCGGTGATTTACACTGTTGTAGATCCCGTTCGAAACTATCTGCGCATGCAATAACAAATTTTAATTCACTTTTTCTAGGGAAATCTATGATGCCGAAAAGACATGATACCATAAGATATTTGACCAATCAAAACTATCCCATGCAATAACTCCTTTACAGAAAAGAACGACACTAGTAGGGTACTGAATTGCATGCTATATAGGACTCAACTTCTATCTACAGGGTCCCGCCCATCTTGTTTAGGGTTTTTTTGTTTAGCTGTTTGGTTGCATGAAATCTTATCCTGCTATTGTGCTCTTGTGCTCTGTCAAATCTTAATCCCTTATAGATGCTTTACTACACTGTTTCTAATCTTCCCTTTAATCACATGTTGCACCATTCTTATCAACTTTTCTACGTCAGCCCTATACCCCATATGTTATATTGGTGGGTTCCCAATTCTAACTAGTACTAATCATTCGCCCATTTGATCAGGTGGCCTGGTTATCTTGGCCTACAATTTGGTCCATTAACGCTATGTTTGGTTTGAAGGAAAGAGTAGGGAAAGGAAGGGAAATGCATGGAAACCTATACAAGATTTGTAAAGGTTGCCCTTCCTTTCCTTTCCTTTCCCTACGTTTTCCTTCAAACCAAACATAACCTAAAGGTTTGAGAAGAAAAACATACATGGATAATGCTTTTCCATTCATCTGCCACGTGAAATATTCTTACATTGTCTAAGGAACTCCTAAAAGCCACTGCCCTTTCTAGCAAATGCAAGAAATTGCTAGAAAACTTTAGTGTCAACTGTCAACAGTGTCTCTCTCTCCACGGTCCACATGGAATCAGGATTTGCTCCTCACAGAGCACACCTCACACCGACCTCACAGCATATCCCACCATGTATTAAAAACATCTTCCTATAAATAACAACACACAAGTTTGATAAATGTTCAGAATGTTTCAGCTGAAATGTGTTGTGAAGTTGGTGTGAGGTGCACTCTGTGAAGAGCAGATCCTGACTCATTCACATGACATGTAAGTTCATACAACCATGCCTTTTAACGCAATTACTGTTGCATGGAATTCGTACGACTAATGTGTCACATAAAGAGAGACATGTAGACAGTATGGATTGCAAATAGTTGATATATATATACATACATACATACGTATGTATATATATATATATTACAAATGCAAATTTGTTGTAAATATAAGAAGGGAGGAATGAACTTATTGTTTTGGTGCAAATGAAACCAATATATGTTGTGACAAACCAAGTCTGATGCACAAAACCCTACAAAACTTGTTAATGATTGTATTGTAAAATAACAAGTTGAAGGTAGGAAATGGGTATTGAATTGTAAAATTGCAAGTTGAAGGTGATAAATGGGTTGAGCTGTGCCAGTTAGTCGTTCTCCTTAAAATTGCAAGTTGAAGGACTACAAAGTGCAAAACCTTATATTTTGTATGTATTTGTACTGTACATATTTGTATTTGTACTCCTTCCAAACTGAGCCTATAATGCAAAAGCGAACTTGTGAATTGGTTTCTAAGATAAAACAAGCCACAGGCTTCTAGTAGACATGTATTCCCTTGTCATTCTTTGAATCACTTTGAAATATGCTCAGATTGGATTGGCATATTTGGAGCAAAACTAATAAAAACAGTATGGATAGTGTATCACCCAATTGTCTAACTCTCTATAAATAAATATAGAGTTTACAAACACTTGAATGGGCACAAAACAATCCAATCTGTCTCTCTTGAATAGTTGAATAGTGATAAACATGTATATGAAAAAACATGAGGAAGATACAGCCATTAAAATACAAAGACCGTTTATAAAGACTTAGGGCCTGTTTGGCGCATCTTATCGCACGGTCTTTCGGCTGTTTATAAGACGGGCAGACCGATTTTTGGTCTATTTCTGTTTGGCTCATGGAAGATCTAGCCGTCAAAAGCTAGAACGCCGAAAAGATGCGAAAAGCTCATTTTGGGCTGTTTTCAGAAAGCTTTTTTGCGTCTTTTGCATTTTATTATTGTGCGAAAAGACACGGAAAGACGTGCATCTGCCAAACTAGCTTTGGACTGCTTAGATATTCATGCAAAAGTTCAATGCGTCTTTTGACTGTTAGAGCTACTAGAAGATCTTCCCAAAAAGACACGTCAAATGGGCCCTAAATAACTTAAACAAAAAAAAAACATTTAAAATAAGTTTAAAAAGGATATGATGTGACACATCCCAACCCAACTCAACTCAATGTATACACCCACACCCAACTTATTGGCATGTGCAAACCCATGACCCATGTATAAAAAATACCCCCAACCTGAAGAATGTATAATATATCCTCTTCCAATGATCACCACCCAAAGGGATGTCAAGTTAACTTATAATGTAAATCAAACACCACTTATTTCATGAAATAAGGTTTTTCATGTATAAAACATCAGAACAAGAGATAAAAAAGTAAATTACATAAAAAACAATTTCTTTTCCAAAAAAGAGATGGAATGAAAGATTCCATGTTAAACTAACAAATACAACAAAACTTGTTCGATTAATGATTAAGGGTCCTATATCAATTATCAACCTCTTGACCGAACTTAACCTAAATGAATTTAAATTAGCTACTTTGTTAGGGGCTGTTTAACCAATATAAACGCCCGTCAGCAGAATGGAATAGGGATATAGATTAGAGTGGGGCGTTATTATTGGTCAAACAGCCCCAAAACACAGCCATCAAGTGAACCTAATCCGGAGTCAACCCTGACGGTCTTAGGTGCTGTCTTTGTGCTCCACTTCCAAAAACCGGAAGTGGATTCTGAACTGAACTGATGGACTACTTCAGTTAGTACTTGTTTGTTGTTTATTGCCGGGTCTGTCAGCTGGTATCCAGGAATGGTACCCATCCCATTGGTCATTGACAGATCATGGCCGGTCATGGATGAAGGATATAAGAATTTCCCTAAGCGAAGCCCATACCTCAAATCTACTTGGTACACGTAGCATCCTACTTGTGTTCATGATCACATGTATCACAAATTTGTCAGTCAGATGAATATAGGGAAAATTTCAAATTAGTACCCGGTATGGGTTTAGTTGCAGTTTGGTCCCAAACTTTAAAATACTATAATTAATATTCGAATTTTCAATACCATTCTAGTGTTATCTAATTTTTTTTATCAACCATCCAAACATTAACAAAATATGAACAGTCCGAAATCCTTATTTCTTCAAAAGAATTGGGAACACCAAAATACCCATTGAAACATAACCCAAATTTCTTGAATAGAAAAAATAATGATTTAAGATGAATGGTTAATAAAAAAAATTAAATTCTATTAAAAGATCATTTATATCTTTTCAAATATCACTTAACAACTAATTAACGATAGTTACGGGATGCAATATTATCATTAATTAATTAACAATAGTCTCTCATTCAAGAATTCAAGAGCCATGCATGCAGAAGCAGTCTTGCTTTGGCGTTGCATGCAATATTATCATCAATTAATTAAAGGGTATAGGGGTAGTGGTGAAAGTTGAAATAATTAAAATAAAAGGGTATAGGAAATAAAACACAGTTTGTAATTTGGATAGTCGCGCTCACCTCGAGTTGATCGCCGAGAATGACCACCAACGCACCTTCAACGGGAGGAACCGAGAACCACAGCCCATCCCTTTGCACCTGCAACCCCGGCACATCCTGCAACAACACTGTCATGGCTCCGGGGTCGGTGTGGGGTGACAGACCCAGTGCCAATTCCGGTTGTGGGCACTTGGGATAGTAGTTCATTCGATACGACGCTTCCAACCCACTCTCTCCTCCCAGTCTCTCCAACAGACTCCCTTCCTCTTCCAGCTTCAGGTCGCGTGAGAATATCGACAACAACCTCTTGCACAACCCCATCACCATCTCCCCGTACTCACTGATCACCCTCCTGCAGCTCCATCATCCTCATGCCGAGGCCACATCAAAATGAGAGACCAAAATTACAACAGACAAACAAACATTATTAACTCTCTCTCTCTCTCTCTCTCCATCATCAGTATGCAGTACCTAATTACCTGTATTCAGTGGGCTGCCGAGGCCACTTCTGTTGGCCGTTGGTAGCGGAGATGGGGCGGAGGAGGTGGAAGTAGTAGTCGTTCCAATCCAAGGGGATGCCCTTCTGCACGCCCAGCCGGCTTCCATATCCTTCATAGGTCACAGGGTTGTTGGCGTACTTGAGCTTCTCCGCCATGGGCAGGTCGAAGAAGCCTCTTGAAACCCTCATCACCGATTTGAGTCGCTCGCTTGGGATGCCATGGTTCCCCACCTGGAACACGCCCCATTCTCTGCATGCACAAGACAACACAGACAACTGTTGCACGTCGCCTTCTTCTATGCCCGATAAGTCCACCACGGGGGGCAACTCAGCCTTGCTTACCGTTTCATACGTGGGTTTTCGTTCTTCTTCCGGTTTTATGTATCGGGGCGGCAACGATTTGATTCCACTCTCCGCCAGCTCTTGAACCCTCTGAACTGGTTCTGGCCACTCCAGCACTCTGGTTGTGGCTGGTGTGAAACCATTACTAGTGAGAGCAGGGACGGCAGAGGCAGCCATGAGGGATCGATCGATATATGCCTCGGAAGGTGTTACTGGATCGATTTCAGAGATGAGAGAAGGAGAAGGGAGATGATATATTAATTATATGGGAGTTCGTTCATCATCAGACTGTTCTGGCTCTAAACTTTATAGGCATGCAGCACTAACAGACGGGTCCGGATGTAACGGATAAAAAAGAGATGGAACACGTGATGAACATGCGAGAGGAGGGAGTCAGAATCCACTCAAGACTGAGGAGTGAGGACTCCAATATTTACAAAACAAAAGCCACGTGGTGATGCCTCCATCATCATCAGTCTTCACACTCCAGTCAACCACGATGTGCGATGTAGGTGAGCATCAAATAAAAGAAATGTAACGGCCGGATACGATGAGTCTGCCGTCCGTCTGATTCTGAGACATTTGGAACTGATTTGTTATTTTCTTGCCGGCCGATTGCCTGCTTTTTTTTTTCCCTTCTTTTCTGCTTTTCTTATTACTATTTTAGTTTGCAGATTTGAGGGCTCGGACGAGGTCCGATATAAGAGCTCAGACGACGTCACTCAAAAGCGAGGGAGCTAAAGAGCAGGATTGAGCATGGTTTATTGTTTCACTAAAAACTAAGTTTGCTGTTTGGATCAGAATGGTGTATTCAGACTTGCAGAGTATTTATAAGTTCTATCCAATTTAGATTTCCAATGACAATCAATAGAGAAAAAGGGAAAACGTGTGTGGGTAACTGAAAAGGAGGGTTCTATTTTCCAAAAAGATTAATTCATACAAAATAATTTAGTTAATCCAACGTGTTGGACATTTGTTGGGAAGTTGGACAGATAAAGACAGGTGGCCTGATTTGAGTGGGTTAATAGAGAGGAGAGGATGAAGATGTTATCAGGAAATCCAAATTACTCTTTTTTCTATACTCTAAAAGAATTGTCTCAGTTTCCAAATAAAACCTACCCCGGATTTGGAACAGATCTGTAACACTCACCAGTCCTCTGTCAAGTAATTAAGCTTCCATTAAGTATATCCATTCGATTTCTCAATCAAATGAACAACTTTGCAAATTTACAGAGAGCCTAGCTATAAAAACCTTAAATATAATAAACACTAAAGCCCAAGAGAAGATAGTCATTGCTTGTGTAGATACATCAACACAACTAAAAGAAAACGGAGCAGCAATACTGCAAGGTATTCCACATTCATTGTCTTGGATGAAAACCCAAAAAGAAAAAATATATATTTACCCAAAATTCATAACCCAAATTTTTTTTAAGAGTTAGGAGTTTTAAGCTAATATAATGAAGAGGGATGAGGGAAGGTTAGAGGAGAATCAGATTTGTAAAAACCAGAGAGTATATGGTCGAGGAGAGTTAATTGGGAAAAAGAAAGATTAGACCAATCACTAATATTCTTCAACAACAAATTGAAACAACAACCACTCATGTGTTAAATGAAAGTTGTAAACTGATCCAATCTATAAAGAAAATACGTAATTGAGGAATAATAGCCGTACTTCAAAAAAGAAAATGCTCTTGAGCTGGATACAAGATACAACGTAACATTTGGTCCACCTTTGTTCTCATCAGTACTACTTTGGCAACTTTATAGTCTAACTAGGAATAATAGCTGTACTTGTTAAAAAAAAGTATAAAGGAAAAAAAAAGAAAAAAAGCTCTTCAGCTGGATGCAAAACTTATCATGCATCCCGAACATTTGATAATTAATCTATTATTGCACATATCTGAATGCATCAAATCCCTCCTTAACGCACAGCTCATACGCAAATCTCAGCTGATTGTAAAAGGATTATTGTTTGTCTTTTATCTCACGTTGTTTCTAAATTAGCAAAGCAGACATCGTCTTCCATTCCTCTCCTCCATCTTGTCATTCAAAGTGAGATGCTTAATGAATGAATTCAAAAGGCAAGATATAGTATTCTAGATAGGGTGTTTATATTAAATGTTAAACCGATCAAACCGATTAAATCGGCCCCATTCAATCCGAGTTCATCAGTTTTTTAAAATCATCAGTCGGTTTTGGTTTGTATGAGAAAATAAACCAATAACTTGGTTTGATTTCGGTTTTCATACATCAAAATCAAAATTAAACCGAACCGAACCGATCCTATATGTTTAAGTAATTATTAATTAGTTCCTACCCTATATGTTAAATGTTGATATATTTTATTTGTGTTTTGTTTGAATTTTGAAAAGAATTGGTTATTTATGATAAAAACTAAAAATGTAAAACCAATACAAATATAATACAATAGTACAATATTTAATTCAGTTTTGTATAAATTTAAATATATTGACAAAAAATAAGTTTTGCATAAAAAACTAATTGGTTTAAATATATATATTTTGATTTTGCATAAAAACTAAAAATAAATAAACTTAAATATAAATAGATATTTTAGTTTAAAATATATATAAAAACCGACTAAACCGATAAACCGACCCAAACTGACTATTCATGTTTGGGTCGGTTTTGCTTCAAGGTTAATTGGTTTTGGTTTAGTCAATAAGTAAACCGACTAGGTCATGTCAATTGAAGAAAATGATTCAAACCGACCCCACCCGACCCATGAACACCCCTAATTGTAGATACTAAATTAAAAGAACTAGGACTTACATCTTGCACGATTTGGACTATGACATTTGCTTGATATCTTTATGTTTCACTTGGGGGGCATTCTTTTTCTATATTTTGAGAGGGGGGAAAGTTGGTCAATGGGATTTTGATTCACATTGACCAAGAATCCTATGTTCTTTTTTTCAGATTTATGTGGGGACCGGGGAAAGTTTATATTTTCCCGAGTACTCATCTCCTAGGTGGGTAAATAACTTTCCCACCTTGGGGGGGGGGGGAATTGTCAACACTTGAATGGGACAAAAATGCCCCTTTTAATAATGGATTTTTATGGCTAAATGTTCATTGCCTTATTTGCATGGGAAATAAAAGAACATGGGTAAATGCACTTACCCGGGTAAGTCTTTCCTAGGAAACACTTACCTAGGTAAGTACATTTACCTAGGTAAGTAACTTAGGCTGCGCTTGGAAACAATGCAAATATGTAGAGTGTAAAATGGTTCATATAAATTACAAAATTGGGTTAGTTTTGCACTAACAAATTTACCTTCTTACCAAACAGAATTTTAGTTGTAATGGATGCAAACATCAATTTCAATAAAGCATATGCTTTTTTTTATAAAAAGCCCACTTGAATGCAAATTTACCTCTTTTTTATTGGCATACTTTTACATCTTATTATCAATGTAAATATGCATTTGTCTGTCATTTGTCAATACATAAATGTAATGTTTCCAAACATAGGCAAAAATGAACTAGAGTGCAAATTTACCCTAAACCGAGATTTGCACTTCATTTGCATCATTTCCAAACGCAGCTTTACCAAAAAGCGAACGGGGCCTTGGTCTTTTTGTCCTGAGTTTTTATCTTTCCATGACTGACTTGTACTGAGTTGATATTGATGAATAAAAATTTTCTTATTGGCTCAGTTTGGAAAGAGTGCAGATACAAATTTGTAGAGTGCAAAATCTTATATTTTGTATTATTTTATATGTATTTGCACTGTAAATATATGTTTTTGTACTCCTTCCAAACTGAGCCTTTATTGGCTTAAAAAATGAAGGAATTGCAAAAAATGTTAATATCATATAGAATTTGTATTGAACTAATGAAATTAAACTGAAATACCCATCACTATCTAATGAAAGTTCTAAAGGTGCTAATTTCTTCTGGCATTTAATTCATGAGATGGGAAACAATGTTTATTCCATATAAAATTTGTGTTGAACTAATGAAACTAAGGCTATGTTTGGAAACGATGCAAATGGAGTGTAAATCCCGGTTGAGGGTAAATTTGTACTTTGTTTCACTGTTGCTTGTGTTTGGCAACATTACATTTATGCATTGACAAATGACAGGCCAATGCATATTTACATTGATAATAAGATGTAAAAGTATACAATAAAAAAAAGAAGTAAATTTGCATTCAAGTGGGCTTTTGATAAAAAAAAAGCATATGCTTTATTGGAGTTTGTGTTTGCATCCATTACAACTAAAAGCTTGTTTCGTAAGAAGGTAAATTTGTTAGTGCAAAACTAACCCAACTTACAATTTATATGAACCGTTTTACACTCTACAAATTTGCGTTCACACTTATTTGCATCATTTCCAAACGCAGCTTAAAGTAAAATACTTACCACTATCTAATGAAAATTCTAAAGGTGTAATTTCTTTTGGCATCTAATAATTCATGAGATGGAAAATTTTTGGCAATCATTTGGCACCAATAATCCAAAGGCTCATTTTTAAAGAGTACTAATACAAATATGTACAATACAAATACATATAAAATAATACAAAATATAAGGTTTTACACTACATATTTGCATCTATACCCCTTCCAAACTGAGCTTAATGTGAAAACAATATAATTAATTTTCTTGTTATTAAAAATGGCAATAAGGTGGGGTTATAATGAATTTACATAAAATAAATATATAATCAGGGTGGGGTGGGGCAGGGACTACACTCCTCATCACCAACCCCAGTCCCATTGAGGATCCCTATCAATTATGATCCCCGTCCTCGCCCCCGCCGAGGCAATCTCCATCCTGGGCAAAATTTCCATCCCAACTTCTTGCCTTTACCTTATGATTATGTTATATTAAATATCATGGCATTTGAATTTAAAGGTTTTAATTAATTTTTCAATGCTAAGAACATTGAATATATGTGTATAGTGAGGCCTAATTATGAGCACGAGACCACCTGCATCAAGGGATATTATGGGTCCTTATTGGCCATATGTCCAAAGTTATATTGGTAATTTTGCGACTAATATCAGTCATACGTACAAAGTTCTAATTTTGATATAAAACCAAACGATTAAAAAGGGCTTATCTTACATACATGGAAATTGGTAAATTGTCTTGGGTCATTTTTTTATAGGTAATAAATAAGATGTGTCCGGAGATAAATAGCAGATTGTTTCCTTTTGAGCTCCAAAATCCCTTTTATATGGACTAGTTTAGTGGTTCATGCAAATGGACATGCAAGAGAAGTG